ACATGGTGAGACCATGTAAATGCTAAAAATGGAATAACTGTTGAAATATGAGGCCTGCATGAGGCTTGCAGCCTCAGTTAACACCTTTTCACACTGATCCTGATGACTGTCACCAAGCACCAGGGACAGCGACAGGACCGCTGGTGGAGAGGACAACAGGACCTCTGTCACCAAGCACCAGGGACAGCCACAGGACCTCCCAGTGATGGCCCAGGCAGTCTGACCAACAGGTTTGGCTTCCTGAATGGCTGATCCAATTATGTGATAGTTCATTGTGAAGAAGGAAAACATACTTCAAAGCGATCGCTTGGGGGGAGGAATCGGCTGTCAGACCTGAGCTGCCTCAATGTCATTACGACAAAGCATATCCTAACTTGGAAGGATGAATTTAGAACATTACCTGGCAGACTCAGGTTCCCAAGCCTGACCGTTTTTGGTACGTTCCGATCAGAGCTGGGATTTTGTGGCCCCAGTGTCCTAACCATATGGTGACGCCTCTCCAATGAGTGCCCTTCTTTGCATCCTAAGTAGCCAAGAAGACTAAATTATTCTTCTCCATTCTTAGTATCTTCTGGAATCTCAACACTTTTGAAACCAGGGAATTAATTTTTTCATGTAGATGTGAAGGTCTTTGGAAAAAACCTGTCTTATAACATATTGTTCGCTCTCAGCAAAATCCTGGTTAAAAGTGGGCAAGGTGGTAACGAAATATCTAGAAAGATGCGAAAGCACCACTTGCAGCTCCTCTGAGAAGCGCCAGTATGTCTCCGAGCAAGCCTCCTCTAACTGCGCTTCAGTTCTCAAATCAGAAAAATTGGACCAAAGTAGAAATGAACGATTCTATTCCTTGTGAAATAAGACAAATTACGCTTGGGGAGAAAAGAAATTGCTATAAAGTATAACATGTTTTAATATTTATGTCTTGTAATAAAACCGTGGCATGTTTATAACCACTCTATCAAGCATTTTTACAACGGGGCCCCTGCTGACAACTGAAAACGCAATAAATCTGCACGGACACACTGAGTATGAAATATACATCTTGATTTTATAATCGTGTGTGCTTTATTTTTTACACAAATGGAATGGAAGTGTGGAATATTTACACTTAACAGGAGTGTAAGCTGTGCAGTGTCTCTGTAAACTCCAGCCCAGGCCAGGAGCACTTCCTCTCCCCTCCCACCCTGCACGGCAGCTGGATGGAGGAACATCCGGTCAGAGAGAAGCACGAAACTGCCCTATGGAAAGGCTCAAACGGGTACAGCCTGGTGCACTCAGAAGTTAAGACACACTTAGGAAACACAAATTCAAAAAGGAGAGAAGAAAAGTTTGCCATCTCGTTGGGAGTCAACCTTGCCATTTTGTTGTCTGTCCTCATGAGCTGCTAGGGAGATTCTGAATTCTGTCTTTTAGATGAGCTTGGTCTAAATCGTCCGCCTGTTTCAGCTTGTCCTCAGCTGTCACAAGAAACTGCACAGCTGTACAAGACATGATTTCCAAAGCACAGTTTTCAGCGAGGAAGGATATTTACAGACTGGAGCGTGTGTGTGGGTTTCCATCCACAGTCATTCATAGCCAGTGTAGTATGTGTGTACATGATATACATACCCCATATACCATACGTACACATACATAAAATGGATAGCCACAGAATTCTCTAGGGAGTTCTCTGGCTAATCAGTTGTCACAGGAGGTACTCCACATGCTTTAAGGGAAATGTCTCCCTTTCCCCCCCCAGGAGTGAGAAATTACTACAATAAACTTAGGAACTAGCTTGAGTCCTCGACTTAAATATTTTTGTAGGCATTTAAGCAGGACCAAGACAGGAACAAAGAGATGTTATTTCACCAGCGAGTCCATTCAATCTCATCAGAGCAATCACCAGCTGAAAAGCAGAGGGCGGGGGGGAAGGAGGAGCTTCACATAAAAATGGGAAAAAGAAAGCTTGTGAATGGGAAAAAAATGTCTCTCCAAATCAAGGCGATGGCAGGGCTTCCATGAGGAGAAAGAATTTTGCTGTCAGAATAATTGTCAGGGCCGGAGTCTGCCTTTATTGAAAGGAAGTGTCCCTAGAGCCGCAGGGTGGTGCTGGAGAGGGCTCGGTTTGGACCAGCCTCCGGCGGAGGGGCACCCAGGTGCGGCCAGAGCCCAGAGCGCGTGCATCTCACTGCGGGGCAGCGGTGCTGGCTGGCTCAGCGAGGCGTGCTGGAGCTGCAGCTGCTCCAGTGCAGGACCTCACGCTCAGCTTTGCTTTCTGGGCTGCATGGGTGAAACGGTGACCCAAAGTATTTGTGTCATTAGTCCAGCCTATTGACTTGCTGTCTGAATCAGCCATGAGCCCTAATAGGACAGAAAAATTAAGAAGTGGGGTATGGGAGAGGAGATGATCAGAAACGAAACAAAGAGAAAGAACAGAAAAGGAGGGAAAAGAGGAATAAGAAGGGGGAAGAGACTGAGAATACAGGAGAGAGAGACACGGAGATGGGTAATGCAGGGAAGGGAGTAGAGTTATAGGAAAGTCAACAACTTAGAGAAGACAGGAAGGATGAAAGAAGGAGAGGTACACAAAAGAAGCTATAGAATGAGATGGAAAGAGAAGGGGGAACGCAGAGGAAGATGAGAAAGAACCAGAGGTGAGAGCCAGAGGAGTGGAGAGCTCCTCCCTGGCGTGGCGTCCAGAAGGGCCGGCAGTGGATCTAAGACAGCTCACAGGCACCTGAGTGCAGCTTTGTAAAGGGGGCTCACTAAACAGCTAGAGCCAACCCAAGAACTTGGGACTGGGAGAAAAGGCCTGCGAAGAGACGGCCAACAAATCCCATGGGAGCAGAGCAAACACAAATGCCCCTGCAATGAGCTGACAAACGGGATTTTGAATTTGGTAAAGCTGAGACCCCCGTGGTGCTACACATTGTACCAGAGCATCAAAAATAGCACCAGTGACATGATCTGGCACTTTTCCGAAAGGGCCCAGCACGTGAAGGTGACATTGCGCCCCCAGCAAGCCTTCAGATTGGAGAGAGCTCCCGACAAAGTTTGCAGTGTTAGCACCAGTCTGGCCCCAGGCTCCAAGTGCATTTGCACCAGATGTAATCTGGGTAATTCTCCTGCCATTTCCACACCAGTGTCAGGTTTGCTGCAAAATACACCGGGTTCCCTGGAGCCATGGAGACCTCAACATTGGGAAGCGCAAGACAACACAACAAATGGAGGTGTGAATTCTATAGGAAAAGACCCTCTCACCAATTTGCTTGGTGATTCTTCAAGCAAATATATATGTATATATATATTTATATAAATCTACATAAAAAAATCAGTGCAAATGCCAGTTCTAATCTGAAAGCATCTACACGAGGAAAATAAATAATTATATTACTACAAAACCAAGGGTTGGTGGTTCAATTTGATTGTACTCAGCCACAACAATACTTAAGAGTAAATGAAAAGCACATCACATGACCCGCAGGAACATCTACTCATTAATGGCAGTCCTTTAAATAAATGGTTGCATGCTCAGTTGAGAAACCAAAGAAGTTATCATGGTGGCCTAAAGATAGAGCTGGGATCAGGAATGGCATTCTGGTGGCAGAAAACTTCTGGGAGCAATATTGATGAAAGTAGAGCCCGACCTGAAACTGGCGAATGGCAAACATGGTCACATCTTTACCATTTTGAGCAATCTAAGGAAATCTCCAGAAATTTAACTTTCATCAGAGGGAAAATACATGGCCAGCCCTTTCATTGGCAAAGACAGCCTCAAGATTACAGGTAGATGCATAATTTTGCTTTTTTTGTGTTTGTTTTGGTGACTGCAGCCAGGCAGAGAGCGGTATTCAGTATAAGATGAACACCGCCTGTTTTTGGAAAGAGACCCTCATTCTGAGCTCTGATGTTCTTACTGTGAAGAAGCCCCATCACTGTTGATGGCCCTATCTCTTGCTCTCCCACCCCAGCCTGCATGCTGGTTTGCTGCACAGTGTGGCAGAATCCCTGCCAGGTCTGGATGTACCCCAGAAATAAGGCGATGGGGCTTAGTCTGGGCCTGCGTAGAACCCAGAGTTGAGTGGTTATTGAGATCACAGAAAAGTCTCTCTCTAAACATCTTGGGCACAAGCAAAGCTAATGTCACCATCAGCTCTAATGTAGGATATAGGCTTCGGGGAGGTTCCTTTTTAAAAAAATCATTATTATAATTACTAAAAAGTAAACTTGGTCCAGGTGTAGCCCCCAAGAAAGGCAGTTTAGTTGGTTGAACTCAAAGTCATTCATTGTTTTTCCTTATGGTTCTATCTCTTTGCCCTGTACATAACATAGAAACAAGCCTGCACCCCCTCACCCCCAACCAGATAATTCTCTTCTCTCTCTCTTCCTCAAATAAATAGTGCATCTCGGGACAGATCTCTCTATGACTCTATGCCACCTCTGGCTGTTATAAAGCCTCAGTGACTCATGAAACAGACACACAAAAAAGTCCTAATTACTCATGATTGGCCAAAATACTAAATGATTCTTTAAGATTGTATGTAAGTAACTAGGAACAAAGTTATTCAATTATTTGCATGGCAGGCCCAGGTTGTTTAACAAGAGAAAAGCAAAAAATTTGCCTTATGTTTGTATGAGTTTATCTCTGAAAGCCATCAGCTTAAAAATGCATGAACCAAATGTCTTTGGAAAACATCCACGAGGGCAACTCATTAAGGGATGTGCTCCATGAGAGTGTATCACTCACAGGGAAGGGAGGTCACGGGAGGCGAGCAAGGGAGAAGTCTGTGTCCGACTTTGGAAGGAACTCAGATGCTCTTAATGGATCATTGGCAACAGAAGGGAGAGTGCAATGTCCAGTTCTTGAATTTGATCCTCTGCAGGTAGTGCCTACAGTTAGTCTTTCAATTAATTAGTCTTTACAAAATATTTCACAAAACTTTTTTTAACCTATAGAAATTTGTTTCTATACATTTAATATATTTTTATTGTATAAATTACTCTTATCTTTAGTGCCTTCTTTCACTTTATAAATGGCAAAATAGACAACAAAAACAGTCATAAAGCTAACCCCAGGTGGAATCCCCTCTTCCCAGTAAGGTCAGTCCTCCATATACTTGTGAATTTTATGAAATGCTCGCCTTTCTTCGCAGGTGCCAAAGAAACTACACGCATATCCTTCCCTGATATTATGCCGTCTTCAAAGGGACTCCTTTCTTTTTGCCCCCCTTCTTTCTTTCTTTTGCTTGTTAAGAAATCAAAGGATGTGCATAGTTATAAAATTCAAAGTGGACCAATTACAGATGTGGGTAATGGGAAGGTTGGTGAAGTTCAAGTGCTGGCAACTTTTCTTTAAAGCAAAAAACACATAGAGCTCAGCAGCTAAGTCAGCTCTGGACATCTGCTGGGTGAGGAGGCTGCCCAGCTTGGGCACCGAGCCTGTCAGAGGTTCATCCCTACACCTGGCCCCTTGAGCAAACCAAAGCCTTCCTGCATACCGCAGAGTCTTTTCTGTCCCACCCTGTGGCCCCTCCGTTTCCTTCATGGCTTCACACAGTTTGTGTTGTACATTCATCAGAATTCACATTGACTGCAAAAACATAAATGCAACAAAAACATAAAAGCCTCCAAGTAGTATATTATATATATTTTGTTCTTCTAAATGCTCTTCTGTTGTTGTCAGAGGTGCAGTAGCTAATTTATAACTTCTCCTTTGAGGGAATCCAGATGAAAGGCCCAGATTGCTCCTCAATAACAAGCTTGCATTGGTTATATATATCTTCTAAGGTGTCTCCTTGGACAATTGCTAGAACAAAAGAAAATGCACCTGGAGTTAGGAATCAATCATCCATCACACAGCAGAAGCTCAAATCAGTGACAGATAAACTCATCAGGAAGCTTAATGTTACTTTTCATTAGTAAGAAAAAGCAGAAAATTCACTTAAGCAAGGTCACATCAATGATGAAAAAATATGTTTTCAAGGCATGTTCTGGATCAGCAATAAATGCACCACAGTCTTTCCACTTTCTTCACGTCTGTCTGTCATTCTGGACAATGCACCATTCATATATTTACATTTTATGGGTGTCTACTCTGGGCCAGGCCCTGAGCTAGGCATCGATCAATTTTTCAGATTGACAGCTCCCCATTTATCAAAGAAAGCTGGCCTTATATTTCTATACTGTACTTACTTTGTCAGAGACAGAAATTCATATATTTTGGATACAGAGGAAATAATATAAAGTTTTGGAAGAAAGTTTAGTTAACCTCCTCAACCCCTAAAACCTTTAAAAGAAAACCCCATTCATCCCCCAAGTAAAATGAAATTTTACCCTGCATACTCAAAGTGAGAATATTTTATGGTAACTACTTACAAGAAACAGAAATAGGAAGAAATATAAACCATTAAACTGTGTATTACCTAGATTTAAGTACATTTTATTATCTCCCTTGAACAAAAGCTATCTTGTAGCTAGATCTCTAAAACACATCCGTACTATGCTTACAAAGTGGGGCTTAGAAATAAATTGCTACTGAAACATGGTTTAGATTTTCAAAAACCCTCCTTAGACTATCTTGATTACTGTATTTTATTCCTGAATATAAGCCACTGTCAAATATACATTGTTTTGATTTGATGGTCCTGTCTGGATGCTCATTTAGGATGAAATATAACGCATATCTTTGTTATTGTTAGAAACTTTACTTAAGATTACCCAGTTCGACATATTTGCACACTGCTAAGCCACTGGTGTTTTTCTATTCTGAATAAGATAAAAAATAGTCTTTAATGTCACATAAAGTAATTTAGGAGGAAAGTCCTTGTTTTCAAACTATCAGTTGTAAGGCAAATTCCACAAATGCTGCTCCCTCTTTGGATTTGATCAATGTTTCATGAAAATATATGAGAGAACCCAGGATATCCAAGACAAGAAAATCTTCCTTTACTGCCCAAACTTCACATTTCCAAGGAAATAGTTTAAGAGGAAAAAAGAAGTTTTGCTCAACAGGAATTAACAGAGAAACAGGGAAGTATTTCAAGACTCTTGTTCACGTGTGCTGACGGGAGGCAGCCTCCAGGTCACTGAAGCAGAGGACGGAGGCCCTGAGATTGCGTCTCAGGAGCGACTGCTTTGGACACTGCACATTTTGAGCCTTAAAGTTTCCCTTTCAAGTCTTCTGATGACACCAGGGAGATACTTTAAGGAAGTTTCAATGCCTAAAATCTCCTTACTGGCAGGAGGCAGCTCACTGGCATCTGGTTCCTGGTTTTGGACAGGGCCCTTGGAAATTTGGAAGCTGGTTGCAGCTTAATCCAGAGCAGGCAGAACCCAGATTTTGAAGCAAATGGGTAAAGCAGAGGGGAATTAGGGATTCTCAGCAGGATGGCTTTAGGGCCCAGATACGCCAGGCCCTCATTTATGCCAAATGTCAGGCAATTTATCTCCTTTGTCACAGTTCAAGGGTAAATGAACTTACCTCTACTAGACCTATCACTTTGTAAGTTATAGAAATGTCTAGTCACTATGTTGGACACTTGAAACTAATATAATATTGTTCAGGGTGGGGCAAAAGCAAGTTTACAGTTGTGAGTATGCAAAACAGAGTTTATTATATTGTTATTTACTAATTGTATAATATTTTCTATACGAACAACTGTAAAACTGCTTTTGCCCCACCCTGTGCGTGAACAATAATTTTTTTTTTAAAAGAACTTACCTGTAAAATACTCTCCAAATTCTTGTTCTAGCTTAATTGCACGATCGTAGGTTTTCTTGGCCTGTTCCTCTGTTAGGCGCTTGTTCATCTCCCTGGGAAAATGAGGATTTAGTATTAGAATGCACGGGGACTATTCAAACCTTGAAAAATTAAAATGCTTGGCAAAAATGAATCCTGTAGGAAGCCTAGTGTAATCTTTTTTTTTTTTTTTTTGTTCAGGTAGAGTGGGAGGGAGAGAGAGGAACAGAGAGAGAGAGAGAGAAACATCGACGTGAAAGGGACACATCGAGTGGCTGCCACCCGCACGACTGACCAGGGCCGGGGACAAACTGCAACCGAGGTACATGCCCTTAGCGGGAACCGAACCCGGGTCTCTCTGGACCGCAGGTCGACGCTCTAACCGCTGAGCCAAACCGGCCAGGGCAAGCCTAGTGTAATCTTAGCAGCAACTTCCTAGTCTTCATCTGGGACTCCTCTTTGCTGGAATAATTTTAGCAACAAGGACTCCCTCCTAGGGAGTTCATTTCTCAGTGGGCAGTCTCTTGGTCCCACGTGGGGGTGAAGCAGAATTTGTCTCCCTTTAAAAAAATTTTTTTTATTTCTCACCTGAGGATATTTTTCTATTTATCATCAGATAGAGTGGGAGGAAGGGAGAGAGAGACAGAGAGAAAAATCGATGTGATAGAGCCCATTCGACTGGTTGCCTCCTGTATGACCGGACCAGGGCCAGGGACGAGCCACAACCTTGGTATGTGCCCTTGACCAGAATCAAACCCAGGACTCATTGGTCTGCGGGCCGATGCGCTAACTGCTGAGCCAAAGCAGGCAGGGCAGAGTCTGTCTTCTTTTGAATTCTAGTTACTGGTCCCTGTTCTGCCCTCTGCAGCCCCAGAGGATAGGGCAAAACTTCCTTCTTCCCTGGCAGGCACCAGTGTCTGGAAACCAAGCCCTCATGTCTGCACACCTTCAGTCCTGCTTCCTTCATCTGCTCTCCCTTGGACATGATTTCCGAATCCTAACCTTCTTGGTCACCCTTCCTTGGACTCTGTTCTAGTCTATCTCGACCTCTCTTAAATGTGAGCTGCAGAACTGAACAAGATGTTCCAGAGGCAGTCAGAGGGAGGAGAAGAGATGGCCAGAAGGGAAGGTTCATCACAGCATTTTGGACCTCATTACATCTGAGAAAACACAACTTGACTGTTCTCAGGTCCCGACCACACAGAAGGCTTTGATTTCTCGACTCCCCCATCCCCTCCAAGGGCTGCTGCTCATCTTCAATGCACAGCAGAAAACATGTGGAGTGGAGAAACACAGAAAGTGCTTCCAGAGAACTATAGAAGAGGTGATAGGCCCCTTAAGGGTGTGCATCTTCAATGCTTAAAGAAAGGAAGGGAGAGAGAGAGAGAGAGAGAGACAGAGAGAGAAAGAGAGAGAGAAACCTGAACCAATAACCCAGGTATGTGCCCTGACTGGGAGTTGAACCAGCAACTTTTCAGTGCACAGGATGATGCTCAACCACTGAGCCACTTTAGCTGGGCAGGTGTGTATGTGTTTCAGGTTGAAAGGCATTCTACAGCTCTTGCTGCTTAACTTTTGCAAATGGCAAGGCATGTCTGTAGCAATCCAAGTCTTGAACTTCCTCTGTTTTTATAATCTGGTAGGATCTCAAGGAGCTGATGAAGAAGGCTTGAATTAAAATGAACACAGAGGGGATGTAACAATCAAAAGTGCTGGGACCAAAATATCTTCAAATAGATTATAAGCAAGTAATATCAAATAGTGAGCCAGGGTAGAGGAGCTTGTTAAGGTCTTCCAATGGCTCACTTTGTTTATTTTTGTTCTGATAGAATGTGCTGCAAAGGAATCATGCCTCAAATTCTGTCCCTTTTTTCTGTTAGTCTGTCAACCATTGTGGAATCAATAACTGCGTATAAGTGCTGTTTAATCATTGGAAGTTTATTTAAATCCAGCCTAGTCTCAAGGGCAAATTGAGGTCAAAGAAAAATGGAAAAGAACCTAATCTTTTGATCCTTAACCAGTGGCAGCTTTATCGCCCCATGTCCTCTGGTGTTAATTTTTTTTGCCTACCAAACTGTACTTACCAAATAAAAATTATTTTACTTTTCATTAAAAAAAAAATCAAAAACATTTTATTAATCAAAGACTGTCAATCATTGCCTCTGATCACCATAAGAATACCAGTGTGACTGCACTGGGCTGACAGGCGTCCCGCCCAGAGCAGAGATAATGTAGTTGGTACGTTGGGGTGCATCACAGGTGCTGCCTTCGCATGCCACTTAGGAAGCCAGAAATCTGAGTGGGGAACAGGTCGTCTTAGTCAGTTCCTTTTTTCAGAGCAAGTAACTGAGGCCTGAAGTAGTAAAGAAACTTCCTAAGGTTGTATATTTATTTGTTTGTTTGTTTGTTTATTTAATCCTCACCCATTTATCTTCAGATAGAACGGGAGGAAGAGAGAGAAACATTGATGTGAGAGAGACACACACTTACTGGTCGTCACCCACATGACTGCAACCGGGGCTGGGGACAAACTGCAACTGAGGTATGCGCCCTTAGTGGGAATCAAACCCGGGACTCTCTGGTCTGTGGGCTGACGCTCTAACTGCTGAGCCAAACTGACCAGGGCTAAGGTTGTACATTTAATAAAGAGTAAATGTGATGCAAGAACTCAAAATTTTCTTTTTAACCATTTCTTAAACAGACTTCCCATTATACCAAGACTTTCCTTGAAAAGATACTTATTTGGAAAAAATAAAAGACTGAAGTCACATGTTAGCATGATACTGAACATGATGCTGATGGCTTTGATATAAAGAAGTGGGAGTTTCCTGTACTCTTGCTGCTGAAATAAACGTATCTCGTTCTGAGGGACGGTATCTATGATCCTTCCCCCAAATGGCAGGAGCCCTAGAGGCTGTGAGTGGCTGTCACTCTTGGGTGTAGAAGATGCTGGGCCAAGGGATCTATTTCACAGAGCTACAGTGTAAGAAATCCCACAGCCCTGAATCTTCTTTGACTTCCCTGGCCCATGCTTATCTGTCTTCTCTGAATTTCCCTTGAACTTTTTGTAGCAACGACTAAATTTAGATGTTTAATTCTCTGATATATGCATTTGTTTTGTCTTTTTGCCCAACCCAGGAGTTCCTTGAGGGCAGAGACCATGGCTTATTCATCAGCATGTGACAAGAAGCCTGTCTCAACACACAGATTGAATAAGTGAATGAATGGATGAATGAATGGACCACTAGACAAATAAATATAATTATCTTACAGTTAAAGGCAGACCTGAACACAGTCCATCATGGGAGCAAGAAGGTAAAAGCAGATTGGGGGACATAGACAACAATTCTGGGGAGGGCAGGAGTGGGAGGGGGGTGTCAATGGGGGAAAAAGGAGAAACATCTGTACCAACAACAAAAGAGAGCAGATTGGGGGTGGCAAGGTGGAGAGACACAGGAAAGCTTCTCATTGCCATGAGGTGGGGCAGGGAACAGAAGCCACAGGCAGCACACTATAAAAAGAACGCTCTTTCATACACACCCTTGATTTCATGCTTCTCTGGAGAGTCAGCTGTGTGTGTGCTAATAAGCTCTGTGCTTTGATTTGGAAGATGCACTTGAGAAATAATGTGTGTGATGATGTGTCGATGCCTGGACGTGACAGCTGCCACGCTCTTGTTCCAGCTGACCTAGCCTTCACTGCTCCCGGGGCATGAGCAACTCCTGACAGCTTCGCTCTGGAAGCAAAACCCCAGGGAATGAGTGAACTGGAAAGCAAACCTCCCGCATTTACGAATAAGGGCGCATTAGTTGGAATGTCACCACTACTGCACTGGAGACCTAAGACATGGCTGTAGCCACTTATGTCATATTCACTGTCCTCATTGAGAAATCCAGCCCCCAGTAGGTTTAATTTTCCTTGGTGATAAGTGGCTGTGACAACACCCTAAGGCAAAACTAAATAAGTCATCTCATAGTTGGGGAAGGAAGTAGACCTTCTCCTACTGAGCACCAGATGGGTGTGCAACTGCTGTTTCTCCCTCAGGCCTCACTTCCTGGGAAGCCAGTTATCCCACTGCGTGTTGATGGTGTGAAATTTATTTTTCTATTTATGAAACAGGCTTTTAAGATGCTGTTCCTGGGATGTGAGGGCCATTTTTCTATTCTTCTTATTAATGATAGCACTGCTAATAAAATTTATGAGGCTCTTTACAGATTATAAATTACTTTTACATAATGAAATTTGTGGTTGCTTAATTTACTTTGTGCAATGTGTCACACAGTATCGTACATGAGGAGACATTTAATGCATGCCATTGGACATAATATGATCAAGAACCACTATTTTATTGTTGGCATACATTTTTCCATGTGCCGATGATGGGCAAAGCTCTTTACATTAAAATTTAACACCTAAATTCATGGGGCTGAATTGTTGGCGACCTCCGTATTTTATTTTTTGCATCCTGATAAAAACTTTGTCCATCTTTTATTTATCAGACTATAGTCTGCTTTTAAGATATAGCTCTGGCAATTTCCCGAGAGATCTTCTCTGTATTTAACTTAATTCTCTTGGGCTGCAATCTTAGTTAATGCACCTCACTTCCTTTCTTCATCCTCGGAGAAGACAGAAGAACAGTTGGCTGATATCCTCTGCAAGTAACTGCTTTCACCTCTGGGTTTTTCCATGAGCACCTTGTGGTTCATTCCTGTACCCTGTCAAATACTCTGAGGCCTTGAGGTTCACATGGAGGCATATTTGAGCAAAGCTCTCATGACAGACACACTGGCATGAATTCTTGCGATCTCCTGGAAAAGGTACTGTACTGTTTATGTGTTTTTGGATGATTAAATAGCTTTATTCCATTTGTATTAAAGTAAGTTGAAATATTTCATAGCAATAATAGCTACTATTTAGTGAGTGCTTACTATATACCAAAGACCAAATAAAGAACTTTACATTCTTAATCTTGTTTAATCTTTACACTAACTCTATGAGGTAGGCGTTCTTAATGTGCCTAGTTTGGAGGTAAGGAACTAAAGGTCACAGAACTGATCAGTGGCAAAGCAAAGAACCAATCCTGCCTCGATCAATTTTCAACTCTTCGCTCTTAGCCTCTACGGCTACTGCGGCCTCCTTTCTGTACGGGAGTTGTCTATAAAGCAATGCCAACAATTTCTATTAAATTGCCAAAGAAAAGATGTTACTTTCTAGTTAGATCAGGAATATCTGCCCAATTTGTTTAGCGATTTTTGAAGGGAGATATTTTACAAGTCTCCTGAAAATTAAAAGAATAAAAAAAAAAAAATCATGCATTTCCCCCTTGTTCATAAATGTGCACTAATATGGAGCTGTTGGTTTAAGTAATAGATATTTGACTGCCACACCACAAAGAAACTCCCAATAAGGATAGGAGTCTAAATGCATGAGGTTCTAATTAAGGAATGTAAGAATTCCGTGATACAACAGAGTGAAATGCCAATGAAAACAGTCTAAAATATTGTCCACTCCTATAAAAACCCACACATTTAAAAAGATTTGCCAGTGGAACTGCTCTCAGAAGTAAGACACAATTTGAAGATGATGCTACCTGTCATTTGGAAAACCAAACCAAATTAAACCAACCTACCCTACCTTAAAAACAACACAACAACAAACAATCACACACACAAAAAACAGTTTGTGAAATGAAAATAAAAATCAAGAGACATTATTGAAGACATTTTAAGGAATTACTGACATTATGTCTGTAATGACTCAAAAATCTTTAATACAGTTTTTAAAAAAAGGGAATGCTTAAAAATCAACTAGGGCATTTCCCATTTGTAAGCATTTTGACAGAGATGTTAATGATATACTGTGTCATATGGAACAGGGGGCCGGATGAAGGCCTCCAGTGGCCTCCACTTACATCAGAGGTTCCAGAGACTTGGGCTTAATGAAGATGGCAATGGGATAGAGCTGGGCAACTTGTAACCGCTTGATAGCATTTCCTGACACGTCAAGTATACAGTGTTTGCCCTGGTAGAAAGAGAAGAAAAATATGGAGTTAATCCAGAAAAAGTGATTATAACCCAACAGCCACTAAAAATAATGTAAGTGTGGTTTAGGGGAAGATAAGGGATAATGGATTTTTAAGGGTTGAAATGGATCACTGCCAAGCATAAATAAAAGTTGATACACCGGTCATCACTGAATGCTTGCCTTGACTCATGTTTATACTCCCTTACTAAGTGTCTGCCACTGGGAACTGTTATCTCAAACTTTCTTTTTAAAAATTGAAGTTATTGGGGTGACATTGGTTTGCAAAGCTATACAGGTTTCAAGAGTACAACTCAATAAAACATTGTCTGCACACTGCATCATTCACCCATTGCCCCAATAAATATCTGATGCTTTGTACAAAGAAGATATGTGGACATGTATAATGTGACTGGGTCTATTCTCATAAAGCTCATAAACCATCTTTGAAGAGAACTGTCAAGAAGAAATCCCCAAATCTATGAGGTAGGTATTATCAACCACATTTTACAGGTGACCAAGGTTTCGAAATGTTAACTAACTTGTCCAGTCTCAGTGTAAGGAGGTCAGAAACCCAAATCTTGAGTACTAATAGAGTTGTTGGTTGGAATAAACAGACACCTCATTGTCTCACCCTGCCTGATGTTAAATTTGAAGGAATGATAATCATGTGTATTTAGAATGATTCCATAAATATTTGCTGAGTGCTTATATGTATCCTGACCTTGATATGCTCAGTCTAGCAGAGGACACACACAAGAGTTACCTTGAATATTGTATCTTAAATGCTGAGAGAGAGGCTTGCACAAGGTATGTATACTTCTTGATTGTTAACAAATAAAAAGCCCCGATTACATTATAGTACACCTCATTTAACGTGGCTTCCACTGCAATGAGTGCTCAGAGCTTTATAAAGTATTTCTGGAAAAGTAGATCTATTTGCCACACATCATATTCTACCTCCTGGAGAGAAATGGCCTCATTACCCTGCTGCTTAGAAGAAATTTACACAAGAGAAAAAACATATTATGCAGATAGAAACAGTCCTAAATCAACAAGAGGGGATAAAAACTCATCTATCATATCGAAGTGAAAATGAGCAGAGTCCATGCATACTTGAACTCTTTTAATAGGAGAAACACACTAAGATGGTTCAAACCTTTATCACTTAAGTAATAGATTCCAAGTTTGCCATCTGTGAAACATGGAATCTACTACATAATCAAATGCTATTTGATTATTCACTGGCCAGAACATTTCAAGTTAACAAAGGTGTATCTACATGTACAAAGAGGAGAAGAGGTGCAATTATCCAGGAAACTGATTACAAACAATGAAATAGCTCATAGAAACTCACTTTTGAGAGAGAGGGAAACAGATGCAACTGCATAGTGTATTCTTAGATAGAGACATTAAAGTTCTTATTTAATTTTTGTACCAGTATATCAACAGGGGGAAAAGGGATGTACCAAATGAATTCAACCCAACAAATATCAATTATATGACAAATATACTTGCTCTTAACTCTTTTTTTTCCTCCTAGGAAATCAATCCTCTGTTCACAGATCACAATGTTTCTATATGCAGATCTGAACGCTATATTCAGTTGCCTTTCTATCCTATTCTCTTTTGAATGTTCTCCTCTCTTCCAGTCACTTAAAATCATCAGCAGGAAGGCAAATAATTGCAGCATCTACATCTCCCTTAAGTTAGAATTTTTGCCAGCATCAGGCTAGGCAGTCCTATCTATCTATCTATCTATCTATCTATCTATCTATCTATCTATCTATCCATCCATCCATCCATCCATCCATCCATCCATCCCTTGATCATGAGGATGTTACGTTTTCAAGGAGGGAAGACGTAACTCCTGCTAATATAAAAAATTGGGGATGCCCATCTAAACCATCAAAAATAATGATGCTTCCTTAATACATTCAATGTTGTTTACTGGAATCAAAGTCAAGGACAAAGTGAATCTTCACACACTTCAAGTTGTTATTTAGGAGTATACTCCACCCCTTCTCCCTCAAATCAGTCAGTTTATTTTACTGAGGTTAGAACAAAGATTAACGACCATGCTCTAAAGTGATCCTTTGCTTAGAGGTCTTCAAAGGATTATTTAATTAAACCTTACAACTGCAATCAGGAAAGAGTAATGACCACAACATGCAGTTTGCCACCTGGGACCCTTCTCAGGGGAGGTGTGAGATGGTTGGTGAACATACCCTCTCTGCAACAAATCTCACAGACTGCACGCTGGTTCCATACAAGTTGTCGTTGTACTGGCCGGCTTCTATGAACTTGTGCTCTTGGATATCTTTCTCCATTTGTTCTCTGGAGATGACAAAGTGGTAGTCTCTGCCATCTACCTCGTAGTCACGCTTTGGCCTTGTAGTATCTTTATAAAACAAAACACAACATAAATACATAAGTTGTCATTACTACTAACAATTACATCTTAGAGTCACTATCTAAACAATGGCCAGACAGCTGCTTTGCAATCTTTTTTCTCCCACTGAATTGACTAAGTTCAGTCGTGGTTTTGACAGTGTGTAGTGACAACCGACGAGTAAGCAACCCCCTCCATATGCTTCCTTAAGTTGACAGACATGGCAGTTGCTTTTTCCTGTTAATAAATTCCGGAAAATAGTCACAGTCAACAAACATCAATTGAATGTTAAACATCAATTTCCCTATGCAGGGCTGTATGGGCAATTTATCCAATGAATCATGCCCTCAGCAGTTCTGACTGTGGCAGTTTTGCCTTAAGAATCCCCCTTGAACGCAGTTTTGTATATTTATACTCATAAATGTACTTTATACTTATTTACTTCATGACACCCTCAGTACAGATATATAAAAATATGTAATAAGAAGCACCATGAGATAGGCACAGGTACTAATCTTAGCCTCCTACTGGAAACAACCAGAAAGCTAGACAAAATATATGGAGCAGCTGTTTTCAGGCATCAGACAACAGGCAGTGCAGGGCTGTGATTCTTGATAAGAAAAAACACATAAGGGGAGTTATATTCTCTCCACTTTCATGTCTAAATGGAGAGTTTAAAGGTCATATAGTGGCCCCAGAAAGGTCACACTGTGGAAGGTTACTCTAGACCCATCTTCATCAAGTCATTACTAGAAGAAGTTGATCTGTCAGTAAATGACCTGCTAGAATAAAAACATAATATTTTACAAAGAAAAATAACAAAATCCAGACTCTCAGTAATGTAGCATCACTAAGTCCAGCACACAATAAAAGATATGGGACAAGCAATGAAGCAAGAAAATGTGTCATATACTCAAGAACAAAAATAAACATACATTATAAATATATTCAGGAACTTTAATAGATATAAAATTAGATCATCACAGTTAAAGTGGGACTGAAAGTCAACTCTAATTTTGGCTAGAGGTAGCGAAACTTCTTTATAAGAAGAGAAGAGCAAACAATTTATCAATATAAATAAAAATGTTGGTATGTTTCCAGTTTTGACTTAGCTATGGTTCTTCTAGAAATCCATTAAAAAATTATTGAAACATAAAATTTTATCCTTAAAAGTATTCAAGTATATTAGTTTATAAATTATAAATATGTTTAGAGAGACTTCCAGTCAAGATGGTGGCGTAGGTAAATTCAGTACTCGCATCCTCCCACAACCACATCAAAGTTACAACTAAACCACAGAACAACCATCATTCACAACCGCCTGAAATCAAGCTGATGGAAGTCCTACAACTACGGAATTAAAGCAGCAGCCACATTGAGACTGGTAGGAGGGGCAGAGGCACGATGAGCTGGCCCCACACCCACTTGTGGCAGATAAAAATCAGGAGGCTACCTCAGCTGGGAAGGTCCTCCCTGAGGACTGAGGGGTCCCTGTCCCACACCAGGGGCCCCGCTCAGGGTTCCAGTGCCAGGAAGAGAGTCCCCATAACTTCTGGCTGGAAAAACCAGTGGGAACTGAGACTCAGGGAAGCTGAGATGGCTGGAGCCCCAGGCAGCTCCTTTTAAAGGGCCCGTGCACAGACTTATCGAACTCACTCCCTCTCAGCTTGGAGAGGAGGCAGTTCGAGGGACACTAGAGACATACAGGGAAGAACTGAGCTGTTTGGCACTGGAGTGAGGGCTGGAGAGGAAGCTTTCTCTGGGATAAACGTGCTGTCAGAGGCCTTTGTTTCTTTGGTGAGCCCTTCCCTGGGACGGCAGACAGCCACCATATCTAGGACTCCAGCAACCTGGCTCACACTGTTTGCCCCACCCTCGTGATTCCCTGAGGTCCTGCCCCACCCAACTTTCAGGCCCACCCAAGCTGGTGCCAGTTGCTTAACCATAGGATTGGCCTGTCTTGGATCTGCTTCAGGTTTTCCTAAATTCTTTCAAACAAGCAGCATCTGGTCTCAGATAGCCCCATACCTCTCATTAAATAATACATAGAAACAAACACAGGGAGGCAGCCAAAATGAGGAGACAAAGAAATAGGTTCCAGATGAAAGAATAGAACAAAACCCCAGGAAAAGAACTAAGCGAAATGGAGATAAGCAACCTAACAGATACTGAGTTCAAAATACTGCTTATAAGGATGCTCAATGAACTTAGTGAGAACCTCAGTGAACTTAGTGAGGGCCTCAAGAGCATAAAAAAGGACCAGTCAGAAATGAAGGAGGCACTAACTGAAATAAAGAATAATTTACACAGATTCAATAGTAGAGTAGGTAAAGCCAAGAAGCAAACCATCGATTTGGAATCTAAGGAAGCAAAAAACACCCAATCAGAAAGAAAAAAGAAAAAAGAATCCAAAAAAGTGAGGATAGTGTAAGGAGCCTCTGGGACAATTTCAAGTGGGCCAACATTCGCATCTTGAGGGTGCCAGAAGGAGAAGAGAGAGAACAAGAAACCAAAAACCTATTTGAAACAATAATGGCAGAAAACTTCCCTAACTTGGTGAAGGAAACAGATATACAAGTCCAGGAAGCACAGAGAGTCCCAAACAAGATGAACCCCAAGAAGCCCACCAAGACACTTCATCATCAAAATGCAAACGGTTCAAGACAAAGAGAGAATCTTAAAAGCAGCAAGCGAAAAGCAGTTAGTTACCTATAAAGAAGTTCCCATAAGACTGTCAGCTGATATCTCAAAAGAAACTTTGCAGGCCAGAAGGGAGTGGCAAGAAATGATAAAAAGCTTTTTATCAGAGTGATAAAAAGCAAGAATCTACAACCAAGATTACTCTATCCTGCAAAGCTGTCATTTAGAATCGATGGCCATATAAAGAATTTCCCAGACAAGGAAAAGCTAAAGGAGTTCACCACCACCAAATTGTTATTATACGAAACGATGAAGGGTCTTTTTGAAGAAAAAGATAAAATATATGAACAAACAAAATGGCAATGAATATACATCTATCGACAATTGAATCTACAAACAAAATGAACAAGCAGAACAGAAACATTGTCATAGATACAGAGAACATTTTGTTGGTTGCCAGATGGGAGAGGAGTTGGGGGAATGGGTGAAAAAGGTGAAGGGATTAAGAAGTACAAATTTGTTGCTAGACTGACAAACCTTAAAGGGAAAGGGGTTGGGGGGTGGGCAGAAATAAACCAAAGAACTTATATGCATAACCAATGGATACAGAAAAGGCACGAGGGGGGTGGGATTGGGGAGGAGGGGGTCAATGGAGGAAAAATGAGGAACATCTGTAATACATTTAACAATAAAGATAAACAAACAAACAAAAAATTATAAATATGTTTAAACTTAATTACAATTCATAATAGTTAAAAGTAGAGAAAAATCAAGATACTCATAAAGGAAGAATGATTAATTATATCATAATAATATTTAAAATATTTATATAAAATTTTCAATAATGTTAAGTGAAAAAAAATACTGTATATATCTAATATGTATCCAACCACAGGAAAAAATGCACATATAGAAAGAATGGATAGATAGAAATCTAAGAAAATATTAACAGTGATGTTATCTCTGGGTATTGTGTGGAATTCTGTATGTTTTTTATTTTCTTATTTAACTCTATTTTTAACATTTCTAAGTTCTGTACAATGAACATATATTTATTATTATATAATGCTATTAATGAAAAAAGAGGAAGAGTGCAAGGTTGAGGAGAAAACAAAAATGTGCTTAAGAACTGTGTTGTTATTTTTCTTTTGAAATTGGAGAACAAACTGGAAGTTGCTATGAATGGACTAGGGGTTTGGCTCCATCAACTGAGTCTTTCTCGGGATAGGTTCTATGGCAGGATCACTCCCCAGAGCCCTAGCTGGGAACAGGTTCATGAGCCAATCATCCTGGTGCCCTGCACACGGACTGCACACATGTGAGCCCTGCGATTCCCATGTGTTCCAGGTGACATACGCACTACTGAAATGGAAGAGACATTTCAAAACATAGAGCTTAAAAAATGTCGAGTGAGAAAGATATGTTTATTCGGATCAGACTTAAGAGCTTAATTATCTAATAAATTAACATCTTCTGGTGGGTTTTGTCTCCATATACAGAAGGCTTCCATGCATTAATGTGACATAGTGGGAATAGAGATGAAAGTGGATGAGTAGGGAAAGTATGGTGGGTGGAAGTAGGTGAGCAGATAGAATTTTACAGGGCTGCACTCAGAAGGACCAGGAGACCTAATAGTTGTCCATACGACAAGAAAGTAGATTAAAGTCTGTAATGCCCTAGAGGGTACATTAAAGTTCTGTACACCTTCTTGTCTTTATCCTCCCAACACCTGGGACTATTAAAACACAGGGGAAAGCCAGTTTTATTTTTGGGTTGACACATGACCCTACGTGATCTTGAGATAATTTTAACATATGACTTTCTGATCTCTCTTATTCTATAAGACAAAATGCTTCAGTGGCATTTCAATCACTCTGTGAGAAAATACTGATGGCTATCAACAATCCTATACTCCTTTAAATGCTATCACAGTTACAAAGAAAGGATTCATCCTGCCTTCTTGAGGAGCACAGTTTGGAGAACTTATACTCAAACAATACGTAGCAGGATAGATGAAAAGTGTTAGGCAGAGAAAATTAAATAAGATGCTTAGATAATAGGTAACCGATAGACTGTTGGAGGAATAGAATTACATTTTACCACCGCCAAAGGAGCCAAGTTCCCCCCCCCCCCCAGAGAAAAGAGAAATGATACTTACGAGGCACACAGGAGCCAAATTTGTCAGGAAATTCGGATATCAAGTCGTCGTTGATCCGATCCTTCATGGGGCCCAGGATAATCACTGGCCGAGTATAGTTTACTGCAGAGAGGGAATGGGAGATGCAGATAAGGAGAAAGACATGGAAGAGACTGCAAAACTGCCCTTCGATGGGGATTCTTAAGGCAAAATTGCCACAGTCAGAACTGCTGAGGGCATGACTTCATTGGATAAATTGCCCATACAGCCCTGCATAGGGAAATTGATGTTTAACATTCAATTGATGTTTGTTGACTGTGACTATTTTCTAGAATTTATTAACAGGAAAAAGCAACTGCTGTGTCTGTCAACTTAAGGAAGCATTTGGTGGGGTTTGCTTACTCGTAGGTTGTCACTACACACTGTCAAAATGACGACTGAACTTAGTCAATTCAGTGGGAGAAAAAAGATTGCAAAGCAGCTGTCTGGCCATTGTTTAGATAATGACTCTAAGACGTAATTGTTAGTAGTAATGACAACTTATGTTTTTATAATTTCTCTTTCTCAGCTCAAAATGCTCTTTATACTCTGTGGGGCTTTCCCAGTTCCTTTGTATTGTGAAGTTAGAAGGAACTCTAACATTTATTTCCTACAACTCCTCACATGATGCTTACATTTTCCCTGCAATACATCAGCCATTAGCTTCTGTGTAAATGCCTCCAGGAAAAGGAAACACAGGCTCCTGGAGCAGCTCACAGATGACTGTATCTTAGGACAGGTCTGCGAGACAGCCCTTCTCAACACTGAGATATCTTCAGTCTCCTAGGAGAGTTTATCCAAAACTACAGGTAGGGGCTCGTAAGTGACTGGGATGTGGTCCTTCCCTTTAAGGACCGCTCATCTGGAGGGGCTGCTCCATCCTAGGAGCTATCACTGCCCATGGTCAGCAGTGTTAGCTGGTGATAGAGCAAATGAGAGAGCATGTGGTCTGCGGACAGCTGAGTACTAAAGGGTGTTTATTTTCCTTATTCTATCACTCTACCTCCTATAATAGTATCACCTCTTGTGGCCTGGAAATCAGGAACCAGAGCAAGCCGGGAAACTTACTTTCCTGCCTTGTGACAGGCTCATAAGAAAGAATGAAGTCTTCTTGCCCTCCTGAGAAGAGAAGAAAGGAAATTTACAGTGGACTAACAACCAGTCATACACCACAGCGACAAGCCCTGCTCTGAAATATAGGAAGCAGATATAGTCCAGGGTTAATTTTCCTTATTTTCTCTTCTTGAACCATTCCCCAAATCCTTTCATCCTCATCAAACTGTTGGTCATGCCTCTAGGTAATGCATGAAGGCCAGTTGTCTGCAGTTCATTGGGCAGTGGCCTGAGACTGAGAAACGATGCACCATGGCATCTGCACCCAGCATCACTGCCTAAGACAAAACCATCTAGTTTAAGGACAGGGTCCATCCAATAGTTTGCTACTACATTATCAGAATTTCTGGACCTCTTATTTCATCTTCTATTTTATGTCCCGAAGAAGCACATAATTCAAAAGCAAGTGTCTGCTTGCTTCACTTATAATACAAAAAATTCATCAGCATACACTACAGGACACTGAGGATTTTACTCCAATGTTAATTCGTCAGGAAAATGTGGGGTCGATTCAAGAAGATAAAAAATTAAGGAGTCCCCTAAGTCCCTGGTGATAATTGGAATTAACTCTACCCTTGAAACTTTGGGGAAAGAACTAAGAAAGACAATGTAGTGAAAGTATCAGTCCCTCCAATGTCATTTGCAACAAGCCTGTTTCACGGTGGGCCTCAAGTCAACAAATAACCATGGAGAAGAAATTGGTTTTTGGCAATTATTTTTTTCAATCGTCTATTTTACCCAATTGATGACCTGGGCATGAGATTAGGCTGATTCAGCTGCCAACCTAGAAGGGTCTACTCTTCTATTTGTTTTAGGCCTGGACTGACTATCCTTCGGTGGGAAATAGCTTAGGCTGTTGGAAAGACTCCCTGTCTGTTGTTCTATAGAGAAGGTAGTTTTTCCTGAAACCAAAGGGCAATGAATCTACTGCTTTATCTCCCCATAACCCCTGTAACTGTCAGTCTGTCAATGTCACATGCTCCTCCTTCAATAGCCACAGCTCAGACCAGGTGAGTTGATGTCATAAAAGGAGTTAATAGCACAGACAGTTGCAGACTGACAACAGATTTGGGGAAATGAAGCAGTATGTGGATAAAGCTGTGAAGTACAGACATCTTCCTTGGGGAAGGGTAGCTGGGGTTGGGTAGTGGGCTGTATATTTACAAGCATGAGAAATGGCCCCCAGCCTAAGTCACACCTTACCTCACCCTCAAGCAGGGCCTACTCTCAGAATGGCACCGCTAGGCCAAGCTACTTTCCTCAGGCACAGAGAGTGGGCCTGATGTTTCTTCTGAGTGGCATCTGCTCAGTGCTTCCCCAGAAATCTTCAGGGGACATTCCCACATCTGGGCAGAGGTTTGGTATGTGAAATATCAGATTCAAATTTTTTTAATTCAGCAAAAATGATTTATTTTAATAAATAGAACCACTGAATTTACAGAGGTGAGGCAAAAAGAAAATAATACTAATAAAGTGATTGATTGCTAAGCTCCAGTTATCTAAAGCCTGGGATATAGAGGTCATAGGAATTCAAAAGATAGGTGTAAAATGGTTGGAGAGAAAGCATAGGTTTAGGAATAGAAGCATGGCAGGCTTCGAGCCAATGTTAGACTATAATTTTACAGGGAAATCTGGGTGGAACGATTAAAACGTGAAAGGAGAAGACTAACCATGGGATGACAAAGGTTTTAAACATGAGGTGATACTTGTGTCTCTCCACTAGACTGGGAACTCCATAAAGGCAAGGACTGGGTTTCATTTATTACTGTGTCCCCAGCACTTAACATAAAGAAGGTGTTGATGAATTTGCATTTTGATTTCAGTGGTAGAAAATAGGATGAGCAAAGAGGCCAAAGGTAGATTCTACTTTGGGTCTGTGTGCTTTCACCTTGGGAGGTGTGGTCTCCTCTAAATGAAGGTAGCACCCTCTGCTCCCACAGGAATCTCTTTCCAGTGGCTTTGAAAATCATTCTGATGGAACATTCTAAAGGCAAACCTTAAGTAAGATACTTGGTGTGTATGTATAATTTCTGATTTGGAAAACTAGGTCAAAGCAACATAGCTTTGATGAACTTTGTTAGACAGTTCTGTAGTTCTTTGTTTATCCATTGCTTTTTGGTTTACTTTCTCAGGTATACAAGGCACTGCCTCTCATTCAGAGCAGTAAGACTGGCCGACAGCAGTGGCAACATCCTTATGTCAAGGCCCATCCCAATTCTAATGATCCTGCGACAGTCAGGTGCAATGTAAGGCAGCCTCCAGCGAAGCAAGCTGTGGTGGTTGGTATCACACAACAGCTGTGAATTCAGCACCTTAAACCAATTTTCACTTTCATGTTCAAGAATGAAAAACCCTATGGGCAATGGAAATAAGACTAAGAGGGGTAGGGGGAGAAAGTCACAACAACGGAGGAAAACTAATCCATGTGTGTATGGCACTTTCCAGGTCGTAAAAGGCTTTCACATTCATTGGTTTCTATTTTCCACAGCCATTTTTTTTGGTAGTAGGTGCTCTGATGATAACCCATTTTACAGATGAAGAAGCTGAGGCTCAGATATCATAATGGGCCTGTTTTCTCAGGTAATAAGTAGTGGAGTCAAGGTTTAAAACCATGTCTTTTTTGACTCCTTGTTGAGTATATGACACTATCTCAAAAAGGCAAGAAATGTAAAATTTTATGTGGGGGCGCTGGGACATAGGGGCAGACTATACAAATGAGCAAAGGATGGGTGGCAGAGAGAGGCCCCCTGTAAACATCAGCTCTTAAATGCTGCTGTGTTATCTCCATAAAACAGTCATTCTTACTAGTTTTTCTATTTTTTGTTCAGGAGGTGTTGGCACTTGGAAATAACAGTCTACAAAAGAGTACCAACTGTTACTTGGTCTTGTTTTTGCAACTGCATGGCTGAGAGTGGGCGAGCAGCAATGCTGTGTGTGAGCATCTGAAGCTGTGGGAGACTAAGCAGAGGCTTTGCCACAATCTCCAGGGAACACCTGGTGTTTGAACTGAAAGCAAGTCACAATAAGAGGGACTCAGAGTAGGACCATAATATGCCCTCATGACAGAGAAAAGCAAGTTGATGTTTTTTCATAATTTTTGGAAACTGGAAAAGAGAGAGGAGGGATTATTAAGAATAATTTACGCCCTGGCCAGTTTGGCTCAGTGGTTGGAGCGTCGGCCCGCGGACCAGAGAGACCCAGGTTCGGTTCCTGCTAAGGGCACGTACCTCAGTTGCGGTTTGTCTCCAGCCCCGGTTGGGGCTCTGCGGGTGGCAACGAGTCGATGTTTTGCTCTCACATGGATGTTTCTCTCTCTCTCTTCCACCCTCTCTCCCTCCCATTCTATCTGAAGATAAGTGGGGAAAAAAAAAAAAGAATAACTTAGGTTCTTAGAGCCACAGAATGTTAATGTTAAGAAAGGGTTTGAAGTTCATATGGTTCATAGATGGTGAGTATGTAGCACATGATGTCGCTACCCCTTCCCATGTCCTTGACAGGCATCACAGAGAGTCATCGCCTGCATTACTGTTGGGCCTTAAATTGGTCTCAATATTTTCAGAACAACTCTTTGGGCAGATATTACCAATTCGTCAGAGTTGGAATCTTGATTGAAATCTACTTGCCATCTCTGTTCTAACCGAAACTCCTCATTTTACATAAGAGAGGACTGAGGTTCAAAGACACTTGGTGACTTCTTCGAGACCACAGAGTGAATCTCCATGGACTGTTCAGAAGGTTAAATCAGTTAAAATATGTAGGACCTTAACAGCAGAGTTAAGGCTATATAAATGTTGCTGCTTGTATTAATTTGACAGGTAGATGGGATGGTTGAAATGTTCCAGATAAAACGTGAAGAGGGCTGGATTACAAGTTATAGTAAAGAGTGGAAATGTATGGGACTCATAATTCAAATATCTCGGTTGGACCTGCAGTGCCACCACGTATGTTAGGTATGTCACCTCTTGGGGCTTCAGCTTCCTCATCTGTAAATGGAGTATGACTACAAGATGTATCTCGTAGTTTTGTTGTAGAAATCAAATGAGAAAATAGATGTGATGAAAAATTGCTTTATAAAGGCTAAAGAACTAGAGGAAATATAAATGCAATAGTTAAGGAGTGAAGCAAAGGAAAAGAGTATGGGCATCATTTAGTCTGGTTCCAGTGGAAAAGTCTTGGGTCTCCTCACTGGCCCCTCAATTTCACTCAGATAATTTCTTCAAAATTCTGGTTTTGAAAATCCTACTTAGCTGATGAGTACAAATGGGTTAGAAGGATAATCATCAGTGCCCCGATATCCATAATGACACAGAAAGCTTTCTTGAGCTTTGAGGAAGGCAGGTCTTCAGTTGCAGAGATTTGCAAAGTTTCCATTGTACCTGCATGGTCTTTACTGCATCCTGATACAAGGGCAGGGGAGAGCTAAACTATGAAACAACCACAGATACAAGCCAGCGCTGTTCTACTTTGTTGAGACAGAAATCTGAAATTAGCCCATAATTAAGATAATTTTGAGGTGGCATTTTGTATAATTAGACAATGTACACTGTAATTATCTGCATTTTGGTTAGTACTTAGTATAGTTGGACTTAAAAAAATATTCTATAATGATTGAGATGGTGCAGCAAAGCTCTGAGCTATTTATTAGAATTTGAGGTTTAAGTGTGTGTGTGTGTGTGTGTGTGTATGTGTGTGTGCATGACTGTCTGTCTCAGGAAATGTATGAGGCTTTCAAGTAAGGTTGTTACAATACGTAACTCCAGGATGCAGTGTGAATGGTGCTCTCTGGAGTTGGGAAATACACAGTAGCCTATTTTTATTTCTAACCACCGATTTAAAGGCTTTTTGTCCCCAGAATGGACATACAATGATTCTAAGGGTAAACAATAACACCTGGACATCAGTGGAAAAAGGGTCTTTTAGTAGTTGTTTACTCTGCTATTTAAAAAACATAAGGTAGTCATAATTACAGCCCAAACCAGGAATTCAATAGAAAGTGCAGCCTATTT